TGCGCTGCCCGCGCCCTCGGCTGCGCGGGGACGAAACGCGGGGATAGGGTGCCGGGCTCGGCGCGATAAATCAAGTCGGGAAGTTTGCGGGATGTTGTGTCCTGCCCCTGCGAGCGCTTACCCGGCTTCCAGGATCCCCGGGACTCCCTCTCCGTAAACCAGCGAACACATAAGCGCTCGCCTCGCCGAGCTCTGCCGAAGCGTCTTTTAAAAGTCATTTGGTTCCTGGGAGGCGACTTCTGGTTTTTAGCTGAGTTTTGTGCGCTTTGGGTGCACTCGAGTTGTGCCGTTCGCTCGGCGCAATCCCCTTTCTCATCTCGGTAAAAGTATTTATTTTTCTTCCCATTCTATTTTTACTTCCTCTTGAAGTTTGGAGCAGGAGTTGGGGAAAACATTAGGTTTTTATTTGTCTTTCATCGGCCTCCTATGAAAGAATTTGGAACTTCTCAAAGTGAGCAGAGAAAGGGAAAGCTGAAATGGAAATTATCTTGCTGGGAAAGCAGAGAGGGATTTTTCACATCTTTACTTTGTATGATTGCATCTTTTGACATTCGCTGTCTTTTTTTGGTTTTAGTATGTGGAACAGATCAAAACACCACCGAGTATGCTTTTTAAAAGCAGCCGTTTGCTTTTGTTTTTAGTGTTTTGATCTGATTTTGCACATCGTTTTCAAATGAAAGGCAGTGGGAGTGTGAGAAAGGAATGTTAACTGAGCAGCTTTCCTGCCTGTTGCTAAAGGATGTACTTGAAGTAAGTTGCATTTTGCCTGAAATGATGGCATGGAAGTGAAGCTTTTGTTTAGTTTGCCTGGCTATCGTAAGTTAAAAAGTAAATAACAAAGTTTATTATTTTAAAAAAATACCAACCCGTTTCGTAGGAAAAGCAGTGTGCTTTACTGTAATATCTGTAGGAGCTTCGCCCCCCTGCCCTTCTCTAGTAATGGTTTTAGGTTATGGCTGGTTTACATGGTTAGACGATAAGTTTGGAGTAAGTTGCCTAGAGGGTGTGTTTTGTAATGGTGTTTTAGGATTCAGAATGCTGTAATAATATTAGCATAGAGCTACCCTCCGCCTTTCCGGGGTCCCCAGCCCTGGCAGCAGCTTCACACTAGAGCAAGGCAGGGTGGGTGAGCTGTGGTGAGGACGAGTTTGCATTATGTGCCTTGCCATTGCAAAACAAAACCTCGAAATTCCAAGTGCTCCTTTCTTCCCCTTTCATACTGTGAATTCAGGTTTGCAAATTCATCTACAGTTTGCACAGGGCTCAGGCAAATTCAGCATCGCTGGTCCTTAAGACACTTGCAGTAAGGTACTGCTGGGCAGTATTTTGAGTGAATGGAGTGGCCCCGGGACAATTTCTCGCATCTGATTTGAATTCTGTTTTGTTAAAACTTTCTGCTGTGGTTTCATATCTAAAGACTGATAGGAAAAAAGTTCATCAGGCTGCAACAGCTTGTATTTGTTTTTTATATTTTACTGCGCTCTCTCTTTTTTTTAGAGTTCAAAGCTCATGCAGTTCACGCTTACCAGGAACTTTCCACTTAAAATGTATTTTTGTGCAGTCATTGGATAAGTACGTTTACCCTTGTAAAATCCTGTGCATGTGCACATTTGATAAAGTTCATATTGGATTAACCAGAATGGCTCTCAGATTAATAGCAGAAATTACTTGCAGCGTAAATTATATTCAACAAGTAACTAATTACTGGTAGGAAGTGGGCAGGAGATTGTGGGATTATTTCCTTTTGTTAATAGCTCCAGCCACTTTAATGATGTTTTAGAATTTGTTTTTTAGTTGGTTGGAATTGCAGTCCCGATTGTAAAAGAACATTCTCGGAGTGTAATTTTCCAAGGCAAAAGTTATATCGGAGAAATAAGGCAGCTAGATTTTGAGGGAAAGAAAATATTTGCTGCCCTTCCATATAAAGGCTTGTCAGAACCAGTGCCTTTTCATGTCAAGAATGGGTTTTGGTAAATTCCTGCCGCAGCATTATGATCATCCACGTAATTGTTAGTGGGCCCGTGAAATGAAAGAAATTATGATCGCTTTCTTTAGTAAGATCTGAGGGACAGGGCGCTTAAGAGAAATAATTGCTTAGTTAGGCTGCTTTTAGTTTGTTACATAATTAGGCCTTTTTGTGCGATAACTGCAGTCTGTCGGTTCAGAATACACACTTGTGGTTTTTTCCAGAGGTGAGCCCGAAGTGTAGAGGGCCTTGTGAAATATCACTTATGCAGATGCAATTCAGAAATAATTACTGAAACCCATATGGTGGAAGTTGTCTAAACCCGGTGTTAGTTCAGACCCATTTTGTGTGTGTTTCCCCTACATAACCCGCATCTTTGTCTCGCTCCAAAATATTTGTTTTAGTTGGTACCTTATTTATCTTTTTGATGCTAAGTGGCATCTGGCTCCCCCAGGACAAGCCCTCCTGTATATTTAGCTGTACCCGTGCTTATTGCATAACTGGCTTTTAACCATATTCATGCTTTAATTGTGGAAACATGAATCTTTATTGAAGTGACCTGAGGTGCCTCTTGGAAAACACAATTATGCTTCTTGAAACTGTTTGTAAAAAACAAAAGGGGCAGCTCCTGCCAAACGCCCACCAGAGAAGCTTTGCTGCATGTATTTTCTATGCTTGAAGGTGCATTGCACCTATACGCTTCGCCGTCTTGGAAAACTGAAAGTTGAAATGTGCAAGCGGAATTGTTGCTTCGTGTCTGTATGGCTGGGTGCTAGGAAAAAAAACTTAAGTGTTCAGCTGTTTTAACCTTTGCTAGCTGCCTTCCATCCAAAGGTGACAGGGTTCAGATCACAATATGTACTTCAATATCTTGCCAGTGACCCCCGAATTGAGTCTTACTGGTTGCTTAGCAGGAAGTTAGTAGTTTATTTTAGCTTCACCTTATCAGCTTTGCTTCTTTTGCTAACCCTATTCCCCTGTCACCCCTCAGATGCCAGACCCCCGAAGAGGAGATTGACAGGTAGTTCCCATAGCTCCGTTTTACCCTCCAAACAACAGGGATTTAGTTTCTTGTCCCTTTGCCAATGTTTATGTAGCCAAAGTTTAGATATAGCCTTAAGGAGCCTTTCTTTTACGTGTCACTGGAACAGTGAAACTGCGCTGAACTTTTTGAAGAAACTGTTGCAACTGGAACCCCATCTAGTGTTCGTTTTGCTTCATCCATAAGGAAGACTTTTTTTTTAATTGTGTTCATTAGGATGGATTTGTTCTTAGTCTCAAGATCGCTTGAGATTGTTGGGTTTTTTTGACATCGGATTAGAGAATCTTTGAGAAAATTTAGCTTTCACGTATAGCATAATTGCATTGCCAGTCATGATACGGAAAAGTTTAGAAACTGAGTTGAATACGAGCACAAATACCCGCCTTATCTTGCGAGCAATTTTCTTCCGAACAAATTGTTACTTAAAACTTGCTATTCGTACAGTGGTTAAAGGAAGGAGGAATTAAAGGTGTGTGTGTACATTGGGGACAGATATACTTTAAAATGTTAATGCATGTTGGGGGTGCAGAAAAACATGTATTTTGAACTGCTTGACTGGGTAAAGGGAGCTGCTGAAAAGTTGGTAGATATAGAAGCGCTTTATTATTGTAATAGGAATTTTAGTGAGAAGTCATTTTGGAAACATTTATATGTATAATAAATACATTTAAAACAAAATATTTAGGAGTTTTCAAACTGTAAGTCCTTGTTCAGTTGCTTCACTGTGGAAGGCAGATGTTTATTTTTTTTCTTTTTTACAAGTTTGTTAAGGATTATGGAATGTTTTGGTTCCCATTCTAGAATATGCATCTCAAGTGGCTCAAAACTCCCAAGTTTGAAATGAGTAATAAGTTTCAGATGAATAATCTAGGTTGAGCACCAAAAAATTCATGATCCTTAAGAAACCAGTAAACTGAAAAATCAACATCTGACAGGGGACTTGCAATACAAAGTATCCTTAATGTATTTTTAAGTTGTGGACATTTTAAAAAAAAATAATTACTGCACTTTGAATTTTGCATATTCCAAATCCTTGCAGATATACTTTTACCTTTAATTGTGTAAGCACTGCATTAAAGCAAGATGGAAGGTTTCTTCGCGATGATAGGCACAACAAAGAAACTTTATTAGTCAGGTCACCAATTACTATATTATTCAGAACAGATTATTCAAGGAAATATATTAAAAGCTAGCAGATGTGGTCAGATACAATAGTGCTTAACTATGCACTAGAAACCACACTGTATTCTCTTCCTGTGAAATGTAGAATTGCACTTTTCAAAACCTGTATGACTTTTT